AAAACTGATATTTTATATATCAAAAATTTTATATATAATATGTATATTTCTGAAATAAAACTGAAATATATATAATATCTGAAATATTATATATATATATATATATAAGTCAGTTCGGCTCGATTCGATTTCGGTTTTCATGTAATATATATCTAAGTCGGTTCAATTTCGGTTTTCACACATGAAAACCGAAACTAAACTGAACCATCAGTTTATGTTTTTTTGTAACCCAAAACCGACCAATGCTGAAGAAAAACCAACCAACTCGACTTGGATCGAACCGGGTTGGTCGGTTTGGGTCTTGTTATGAACAGCCCTACCAAATGGAAAAGGGTAAATTTCTGAAACCTCCCCTGAAGTTTCTAATTGTTACTAAAACCTCCCCTGAAGCTTGGCAATTGTAATCACCTCAAACTTTCTAATATAGTTACAAGTAGACCCCTTTGGTATGAAAGTGCCCAAAATACCTACTTTTTGACCGAAATGTTTATTTCCAAATTTTCTTCATATGAATGATTAGTCCAAATCCTTCTAATCTCTTTTCTGAAATGGATTTATTTACCAATTTTGCCCTTCATACCAATCACACAAAAGTAAAACTGCAACTTCAAATTCTCTTTGTTTTTTGTTGTTTATAATAATTGCAGGAGTATTTTAGACATTTTCATGCCTCTTGCTAGAGGATTCCAATAGAGGGGGTCTACTTGCAATTGTATTGTAAAGCTCACAAAGGTAACTCCAATTAGCAAACTTCAGGAGAGGTTTCAGCAACGGCCAAAAACTTCAAAGGAGGTTTCAGCAATCAACCCACTGGAAAATTCAAGCTTACCAAAGCCCAAAAGGCCGCACTAAAAGATGAACCAAATGCCACCTAGACAGAAATCAGTAAGATTGGAATCAGATTCTATGAATGTTGTTCGTGCGCTGATTGGTGCATGGGACATCTTGTCTTGGTCACGCTAAGTTATTCTGGATAAGATCAAAGAAATTTGATAATGTTGTTCGTGAGATGAAGCTGACTGTGCCAAGGTCAACCCGAAGCCCAGACCCGGCCAATTGGAAGTGTGTGCCAAAAGATGCATGGTTCATACTTTAGTGGGAGTGGACCTCCCAAGCCCAGATCGGCGTTCAGAAATTAAGAGACGTCAATGCAAGCTTGCTGGCTAATCTAACCTAAGCTATTGAATCTATTATATCCAAAGCATCCTTCTTTTCCTTATTCCTTTCCTAGAGAGACAAGCTTCCGAATTGTTTATTCCAATCCTCGTACGTACCAAGTTCGTTCATAGAAACAGATGGCCTCACTTCTTGCAAGGCATTCTCAAAGTCCTACACCAATAGCATAACAAGCCCAGTTTATTATAATAATAAAGAATTTAAGACTGTAATCAAACAAATATCAAAATGAACGTATGCCCCAACTTCCAACTAGATTAGTATACTTAATCACCTGAAGCGTAACCGGCCTCATATCCTCCTTTCTCAGCTTTGTAATCTCCATGCCTTGTCTCAAAGCCTCCCTCAGCGGTCCCATGGATGCATCCTTCACCAAGTTTTTCATGTCTGATCCTGAATACCCTGAAATATCCAAGACAACCTAAGCTTAGAAGAAACCAAAGTATGAACATATAATTAGTATTGCAGAGAATAGGATTGGGTTTCAGCACCTTCGGTTAATTTACATATAGTATCCGTATCCTCCTTTGAAAGCATAAACAACCCATCCTTCTCCAACAGATTGCGGATAATCCAGGCTCTTGCTTCTTCATCACCAAAGGGATAATGTTGAAGAGGTGCCAAATGAAGAATTTAAAAATAGAAAGAAGAATACAATATAAAATCAGACCTGAGGAAGGGAGAGGGATATAGAGTCGCTTTGTAAGCCGCCGCCGTGCTGCTTCATCAAGCTCCTGAGGCCTATTTGTTGCTCCTACAGAATGTTAAGAGCTTACAATCTTGAACAGTATGGAGTTTGAAATAATTAAACGAATAATATTAGTAGGGGAAATGCAATGCCCACAGATTTTGAGCTATGTAGTTTTAATCTTTTCCTTCTTTTATTCAAGCTATTCATTTATTTCCAGATTATAGGGAGCAAAACTTTTGTTAATAAGCATGGTTTTCAAGGCACCAAGGCAAGGCTAGGCGACAGGGGGGCACCTAGGCATCACCTAGGCGATGAATTTTTTTAAGTGAAAATATGTATCCTATGGTAGTTCCCTAGGTTCCATAATCATATTTCCTTAATAAATATCCATAAATTTCATAAGAAAAGTATAAACTTCATGTCAAAGTAAAGAAAATCAACATATTCATGAAAAGAAAAAGAAGAAAGAAAAGAAAATTCAAAAAATATAGGGGCTGAACCCCTATTTCTGTTATAGGAAAAGAAGAAAAGAAAAGGCGGAAGAAGAAGAAGAAGAAATTAGTATATAAAAACACAAAATTAGTAAAGAAAAAGAAGAAAATGTGTTGATTGGACAACATTTTATGTTCTTTCTTATTGGTTCAGGTTTTGAAGTCTTTGAGGGTTCAATACAGAATTTAGCAATGTTTGTGTTGATTAAACACTAACAAATAAGAAAATAACAAAAAGAAATTAGTATATAAACACACAAAATGAATATTTTAGTTTAAAAATGTCTATTTTATAATTATAATCTCAAAAAATTAAGAATATAAAAGTTTGTTATAACACGCTATATAAAACTGCTTGGCGATTAGGCGAGGCGAGACTCCAAGGGCGCCTTGTCACCTAGGTGTCGCCTTGACAACTATGTTAACAAGGGTGAAAACTGAATTGCAGTCTTGAGAAAACTCAACCCATTTTAGTATTTTACGTTGAAACATATGGAGCCTAAAGGAAATCAGTTCATGACTGGGTTTATTTATCCACACATCAGATCATGGCTTCATGTACTAAACACTTTCAGATTCAACACAACCAAGTTGTTTATTCTAACAATACTATGGAGAATAAATGTGAGAATGATACTTCCATTTCAACATGGAAAGAGACAGCTAACACAATTTCAAAGATCAATAATCAGATAGACAGTATTGATTTATTAGCCACGGCATCACAGAAATCCTTATATTAAAGTCCAGGTTTGTCAGTTGATATTTGGCAATTGGCATAATACTACCAAATAGAACTCAAAACATGGTTCAACGATTACCAATAAGAAGAATTTGCTCATTTCCACTATCAAAGCCTTCCATTTCAATCAGGAACTGTGTTTTAAGTCGTCTACTCGATTCATGCTCACCTTCCGACTTGCGCTGTAAGGACAGATGTTATTCTCAGCATGTTGTCTTCATCAGTGACTTGATAACTCAAAAGTAACTATGCTAGATCTGTTATGTGAGCCAAAATCAAATTCAAAGCAGTAGCATGGAAGTTGGACCCAATATCCTACAGATCCCACCTAAATAGGCAAAAATGAGGAAAAAAAAAAAGATCCAACTACAAGCATCTATCCTACAGACTTTATCTTGGCTATATACCAAGGAATCTGATAGAGTGGATGAAGTTCCAGTTATCTGAATAAATCAATTTTGGCACTGAATCACTTATGCCCCCATCCCCATGAAAGGGTAAGCCTCTAGGCTCACCTCCATGCATTTGATTTATGTTTCCAATTCAATTAAGTGGCTAGACATACCTGAGATAGAAGGGAATCTATTTCATCAACAAATATCACAGCAGGCTGACGACAACTGGCAACCCCAAAAAGTGCTCTCACAAGCTTTTCACCCTCACCAATCTATGACCATCATTGAATATGTTACACACTTGGAAACAACAGAACAAGAAGCTATACAAAATAATGAGGAACATGAAAGGAAACAAGAAATTCAAACTACTGAGAGAGTTTTGCTTCCAAGTTCAGATCAATTTTGCTAAGGAGCTTGTTTGATGGTGTCAATAAGCAAGTCCTCTGACCAAACAAGGCAAGTGATGCCTTTTGACAATGACATGCAATTGCACAATTTTCCGATCATGCAAGTAATTGTTTCAGGGTGCAAAGACCTAGTAGCACCCCTCTTAACAAGGATTTGGAAGAGTTGTTACTTTAAGTGTATATTGAATCAAGATGTTTGTACTGTACTTGCCTTGACTCAAATCTGTGTCAGATAGCGCAGGAAAGAGAAAAAAGGAAAGAAAAACATGCCAACTTGCTAGTTGTCATAACAAGAAGTATAGGAAAAGAAATACATACCCACTTGCTTGTCAATGAACTAGCTGATATATAGAAAAAGGTGGCTTTAGCCTCTCCAGCAATAGCTTTCCCAATCATTGTTTTACCTGTCCCCTGATACATGAGATACACACAAGAGATACTAAAAAGAACTCAAACCAATAGTGTTGCATGTGGGTATTATACTTAAGCAGCTTAAATGCTTACTGGCGGACCAAAGAGAAGAAGACCTCTTCCTGGAGAGCGACAACCTTTGAATATGTCAGGACGTAGTAAAGGCCATATAACCATCTCTGTCACACATTTCTTAGCATGCTCCAAGCCAGCTATTATGTTACCAAGACAATGAGTTCATGTCAGAATAAAAATACTTTAAAATAAAAATGAAGTAAATAAGAAATACAGTAAATTCATGAGCATGATAAGGTTTGAAGCTTTAGGTTACCAATATCATCCCAGCGAACATTTGGATCCCGATCCATGATCTCATTGCTAACATGCTCAATAAGACGTGGCTCCAAATTTCTCAACTTCTCAGGGAGCTCCCCATCAGGGCCACATAACATTTCCAAACTATAAGAAAATATAGAAGTCACAAATATGAACATCCCAACTCTTAGAATTCAGAACCCCTTTAATGCCCTTTTACCATTCATTGAAACATGAAATGAAGAGGGTTCAGAAATCTTGACAGAAATGTAAACCAACGGAAAATAATGTAAAAGGTTTAGAAACCTTGAGACTAGAAAAACAGCACACATGTCGAGACTTTTCAAAAAAGCATCAAGTGCAGAAGAATAGAAGATTATGACATTGAAAAATGTGTCTACAATTGGTTAGATCCTTTTTTGCAAAACTAGTAAACAGAAACTAAACCAAAACCATAGGAGCAGTAATTCACATTTCAGGGAGATTAGAAGTATGGCTTTTAAATTCATTTGATTTCAAAAACGTTCAGAACAAAGTAATATGACTAACTTTATCCAAAAAAAAAAAAGTAATATGACTAACCATCTCTTTGTTGAGTCTTCTAATGCATCATCACCCTTTCCTGATACTCGTGAAGTCATGTGACCCGTGTTAGCCCCATTGGATCTAATAGGGGGAACAAAATTACTACGAATGCCACGACGTGGAAAACCACCATATCTTGCACCATATCCTCTACCCACTGAATTGTTATCACTTTGAGGGGAAACAGAACCACTTGGTGATCCCACTAAACCACGCCTTTGCCTTGCATCCATTTCCTGAAAAAGGTAAGAGAATTGCAACATTACTGATGAGAAACCATTAAATAAGCAATTGTAAAATAAAAACATATGTGCAACCTTATTAGGCAATGATGCATCAAATCCTAAATAAGCCGTGTGTCACCCCACCATGCCCCAATCCCTTTTTTACTAAGATTTTCTATACCTTGCACTGTGGGTTTTCCATTTCCTCATCTGCTCTCACAACCTCACTTCATCTACTTTGTATGTTTCCGAAGATGTTTGACCTTATTGCAGAATCCAAAAGCACCAAGAATTTTTGGGTAGTTTTTGTTAGCATGAAATCATGGATGGGATGCAATTACTCAACCATTTGAACTAAAGGCTCCAGATACAATATCTTGTTCTCTGTATGCTCTGATTTTCTGTTTTCTTACTTTGATTTTTTTGAGGGTGTTGTCCATGGATACAGAAAGCTTACTATGGGATTATTTTTCAAATCTATGGTTGATCCAAACTAAATCTATGCCTTTTATCCAATGGTAGCCAGTGACAATTCCACCCCTTTGGAGATTGTCTGTAGATTTAGAAAACTTTTCTGAACCAACTCCATAGCTTTTTTTAAGTGGAGATTGAGAGTGCCATCAGAGATTCTCCATAAATATAGAAAACTCATTCTGGATTCTTTGATCTCAATTTCACCAATAACTAATTTATCAGAACAATATACAGGCCCTCTGTTGTGTTTCTTTTTTCAAATTTTCATTGTTGGTTCCCAAGCATTTATACTTCCGTTTGTGATCATACTTAAAGCTTGACCATGGAAACCATGCATTTATACTTTTGTTTGTGATCATGGCGTTTAAAGCAGAGAGAGATAGCATGTTTGCCAGGAAAAAACGTACATGTTTCTTTATCCACCTACATACATCTATCTGTACTGCAGCCAATAACAACAAGAAAGAAAAGAACTACATTCACAAGTGGAATCAAGCAGGACCTGGGGGCCAAGGCACCCCCCAAGGGTAGTTTCCTCTTTCCTAGTTCTACCCTTGACCATATTAATGGAAATGTATGAGAATGTGCATCTATGCATGAGCCTGTCAATAGAGAAAAACTACTTTTAGGAGAAAAATGATTACCAATTTTGCTCTTGCAGTTACAAACCCAGTGCCTGGAACATCTGCATTAGCATCTTCATTGGTTGGTGGAGATTTTGTAGGTTCAAGCTTAGGGCTGCTAATATCCACATAAGCACGTTTTGTTGACAAACTAACATGAAGTTTTTCTTCCTCCTCAACATGCGAAATTGTAGAGAAGCCCGTGCCCTTAGGATAGTTCTGATTGCAGGAATTTGATTTTTCTAATATAATGCATTCCTCCGAGTTGTTACTTCTCAAGTTGAGTGTGTTCTTATTTGAAATATTATTTGTCCTCAAGACCTTTCCACCATAGAGGGATGTTAGCTTTGCCTGTGTCACACCTTTTGGAGTCTTAGAACTCAACTTGTCATTCTGCCTATCCGGTTGACCCAATGAGGGTAAATTTGGCCCTTCCCCAATGCTGCTACTTTGGAGAGTGACTGAATGGCTGTTATCTGATGCATGAGGAATCTGTGATTGCTGGTTACAGAGAAAGTTATACTTCAAATGTCAAATATAATAATGTCCATCATTATAATAATGACATTATGGATCCAATTAGAATGAAAGCAGATCTATTTATATTTTAGGCACATTGGTGTTTTGGCATGTTAAAAGATTACATCAAGTACTAGGTTACTAGCAATCACAATTCTCATTTTAAATTTTTCTTATTTTGTGGAAATATAATCTCCAGCAACATTGTAATTTCATACTTTATTTTTAATGAAAAATCCACAAATTTTGAAAAGGAATGGTAAAGAAAGGGAAAAAAAATGTGACGGAATTGATCAACTAAAACGCATGATATTCATTTAAATAAGCCCAAAAGATTCATAGTAAACAAATGATATATCTGAAGTTAGGGAAAGAAACAAGTAAATAGATTATTGAGAGAAGAGTTTGTAAAGTGCAAAAGTACTCACAACATCAATCTCTTTGACAAGCAAAAGGAACTGGAGAAATGGTGTCTTTCACCATTTAAAGATAAACAAGTAAATGACAGACACTAAAACCAAAAGCACTCCTTACCGATGCATAAGCAACACTCCCCTTGGATTTATGAAGGAAAGCACGGAAGTATTTTGAATTCTTAACCTTATCAATGTCAGCATCCCCTCTCTTCACAAAGATGCAACCAGGATCTTTTTTTGCCTGTTCAAATGCCAGGCTGAATTGAAAAGCAACACAAATCAACAACATTGCACAAGCTAGAGTATAAATTAAGAAATCATTAAAAAGAACAAAAGAAAAAAAAATAAACCGCAAAATTCCCTTCAACTTAAATAACGCTGATGAGAATTGAACATTTAAAAAACCATTTTAGGGTCTTTAGCACTACTGTACATTCTTTGGATGTCAATTGTTCATTAAAAAACTAAAATAAAATGATTACTACAAGCCCCAACTCCAGTTAGAGTAGACAAGATTCCTATCAATGTTCAGCTAGTAGAATAGACGATAGTAGTTACTAATACTCCGAATTTTCGTCTATCGGATTTAAAAGGTTATAACAATCAAACAAAAAGTAAAAGAAACAAAGAGACCAAAACCCATCACGTCTTTGTTCGTAAGAGGTGAAATAAGAATTGAAAGGTGAAGCATCAGAATAAAGTACCGGTCGGATTCGGGAGCGAGAGATCGACGAGCGGAATCGATCTTAGAAGAGATCTCAGACCGTATGGGATGGATGAAGGCTTCATCGACGTGATTGTGAGAACGGGAATCGAGGAAGCCGAGGAGGCGGAGTCCTAGGATTTGGGCGGTCAGGAAATCCTTTCTTTCGAGTGCCAAATCGGCGCCGAACAGTAGAGAGTGTAGCCTCTTCAGGTTCTCATCCACTTCTTTCCTCCAGCACTGCTTATGCTCCCTTCCATTTTCCTCCATTTCGTTGGCATTGAGACCGAGACCGAGACCGAGAGTCAGAGAGTGTACGCGCGGGCGCAGCGCGGAGTTGCTTCTTTTGTTCCCGGCGTTCCCGCCATTTTGAGTCACGTACGACTTCGGACGTAACCACCCCGGTTTGGCTGAGCTTCGGCTTTGAGCCCTGAGCGGTAGGATGCAAACGGATCAAATCGGATCCGAATCGGGGCATATCCGGATCCGATTATATCCAATCAGACATCATGAGCGTGGATTTGAATCCGAATCCATTAAGGATATCATATATATATGATTCGAAAATTTTTATTAATTATTAAAAAAACATAAACAAATATGTCTTTTTATAACAAATAAATATTATAAAAGTATAAAAATATAATATAAATATATTTATAGAAAAATAAATAATACATATATATATGATTGAATTGGATCGGATTAAATTTGATCCTGTTTTTAATCGCATCCCGTTATCCAATCTGAAAATCTGAAAGGAAATATTCGAATCCAATAAAATAGGATCAGATATCGGTTCCATTTGCACCACTACATTTGGGAGGGTTTTCCCGCAATGACTTCTAGCGTTGCAAGATAGAATGATAGACCCCACTCAAAAAGACAGGAAGTTGTGTACGGTGAAAATCCCATAAAAAACAATACATGGTTATTGAGATGAGAAATCGGCTTTCCAAGTTTCTTTCTATAGAATCACTGAGGGGCTACACAAGACGGGGTAGCTCTACCCCAAGATTTTCAAAGCCAATCAGTTCCAAACAGGCTCTAAGGTTGCCTTTGGGAGTGCTTTTGGGCTTTTATAATCAATTACTCTTTGAATGAGCGTTCTTATAGGTAAAAGGTAAAGAGAGATTTCATTAAGCAGAAAAATCAGAAACAAAACAAAGACACAACAGTAAACAAACCACCACTACAAAGGAAACACCAAAGAACTAAACTACGGAGAATGAAACAGCCTCTCATTGGCTTTCAAAAAAAACAGCCTCTCATTAAATCACGGAGAATGAGTGCTTATTTAGACAAGCACACTTGAGCATTTGGTATAATGTTCTAAGCAGGCTTTTTCTTTATAAAAGGGCTTCTCCAAGCATAAGCAGCCAAAAGCCCAAAATTTTTGGCTCCTCTAAATGAGCTTTTTGGAGTGAAAAAAATATTTTGGAGCTTTTTTTACCAAATGCTAACTCAAGTTTTTTTTAGCACTTTTGACTTCTAATAAGCAATAAACCTAATAAGCACCTAATACAAACATTCCCAAACGCAACTTAAAGGCTTTAACAGGTGAAAGCCCAAGACGTGGAGCCTTTCTTTAGTGCTTTTTTCCATATCAGCTTTCCATCCTCTATAGGCTCTAAGCTTACTTGCTAATTGCTTCTAGTTGATTTTAATGTTGACCAAGAAGTGCCAATCCCAGTTTTTGATGGGTCAATTTAGGCCCATTTTTTGGGTCTAATACAGGTTCTACCTCGATCTTGATTCTGGCCCAACAAGGACCTGACAACGTCTGGAGCCACATGTGGCCCTTGGACTTGGTCCCCCAATAACTTCCCACGTTTTTGTTTGAAGAATCAGGACCAACCATTTAACGGATCCCAACTAAAACCTATTACAACCAAAATGCTATTTAATCAAACGAATTTTATTCCATCATTATTTGTAACTCTGTATAATTACCATTTTAACATTGAGAGAAATTTTTCCCTAGAACTGCAACAAAAAACATAATCGAAGGACGTTTAGATGGAATAAAAAGATTAGAGCAGCTCTTTTTTACTTGGGTTCGATTATGATATGGAATATGATATCTAAAAAACTTGTGACCAAGAAATCCATGTGTGAGTTTTGATTTCATATCAGCTTTCCATTTTAACATTGATATGGAAAAGACCCGTCAACTGAAATCATAAAAGTGGTAGTCAATTAGGTGTTATTTATCAAAGTTCATGGGTGAGTTTTGATTGGTCAAAACTCATTTATAATTCCATTGATCAAGAAATTCATGTTTTTTTCATATTTATGTGGAGATCAAGGAAATTTTATTTTCTTGCGTATCACTTTTTTTGGGGGAAAGTGATACCATGATTTTCAAAATCAGACTGGACTAGACGGTCGGACCGGAAAAATTGGGACCGTTATTTCCCCAAAAACTATTGATTTGGTCAACAAATTGTTGACCCGGGCAGTCGAACCATTCAACGGTTTGGCCTGGTTTTTGTTTTTTTTTTTTTGTCATAACAGGCTATCCATTCAGTTTGAACGGTCAGACCATTCAACCTGGGAACCAGGCCCCTGACCGGTTCCTTGTCCGGTTCAGTTTTAAAAACCTTGAGTGGTACCCATTTCTCAGGTGGGTAAATAACTCTCACCTGGGGAAAAGTTATCAATATTTTGATGGGACAAAAATACCCCTTTTAATAATGGATTTTTATGGCTAAAACGATCATTGTTTTTGATGGAGGTAGATTTGGTCCGACCCCTTGGCTGTGCGACACGTGGAAGAAGACAAGATGACCTAGCAGGAACGTCAGCTCGACACGATGACTTAGCACGGCCATATCCTCGAAGAGAGGCTCGAACTCCCGAGTTCTTCAAAGAGAGGCCCGAGTTCCCGAGCTCCCCAAAAGGAAACCCGAGCTCTCCCTAAAGGATCCCGAGGCTAACAACGAAGCCCGAGAGGGGCAAGGCCGGGGCCAGCCCACCTCGAGCCAGTTCAGATCATGTGCCAGCACTTCAGGACAGTAGGATCTGCTCATCCGAGCTCAAGACTTCACCTCGCGCACCACTCCAACACCTCGGCTCCAGGTCGCGCGACAGCGAAACCATATCTGACATCCATACTCTGAGGCAGCACGCCTAACTGATCTGGGTCTGAGAGATGGCAATCACGCCGTAACGGCCACCTGCCACCGCCATCTCAATCGTGGCAAAGACAGCCCTGACAGAGAGGACAGTGGCGATTATGCCTGCCCCTCCCCCCACAGAGGCGGTTATGCCTGACTTAGCAGAAATTTGGGAGTAAGTGCACCAAGTGGCTATAAGAGGCCTTCCTCCCCCAAGAGAAAGGGGTATGTAATATCTTGTGCTTTCTGGTCTCGAAATCCATTATTTCCCTTGCCTTCTCTAGAGCACTAACTTGAGCTTCGGAGTGTTCCAACCGGGTTCCTCCCCGGAAATCCCCAGCTTCTTCCTTGTTTCAGGCACCTTCAGCTCCGTCAGAGGCGAGCTAACCGGCAGCTAGGTCCGATCGGATTGCGCATTATCATTTGGCGTCATCTATGGGAAGACTTCAAAAAGCCCCCCCTAACCTCTAACTCTCTCTCTCTCTCGCAAAGAAACCTTAGCTTCCATGGCTTCCTCCAGCAGCAACAGGCACAACGCCGACTTGAATGCTGTAGGGGAACACCCCCAGTCCGCCACTGTATGCATCGGACAGTTCATTGTCCCCCTCTCGACGGACGGAATCCCTAGCCTCAATGCACCGAGCACAGTGGCACCTGTGAATGTTCCCCTTCCCCTCCCTATCGAGACAACCTTCGCCGAACCAACCGCTGTCCCTCTGGCGACCAGCCAGAACCAGCTTGATGACTTGATGCAGTGCGTGCGGGCAATGCAAGCCCAAATGCAGCAGTTTTAGCAACATCAGCTCCATCAGCAGCAAGTACTACACCACATTCCTCAGTGTCACTACCAACAACAGTTCCCCCAACTGCCTCTGAACCAACCGCAACTCCCACCTCGGCACCCTGCTCCCAAGCCGGTCAAGCCCTCCCCTCAGGGCGGGCGCCTTCACYGAGGGRAAGCCTCCCAGCTTCAGAACCCCTCCAGGAGCCAGGCCTCATCCCCGGGCAGGAGGGAAAGACTAATTACCCCCGCCTCGCAGCTCGCCGGCGGATCAGGAACCTCCTTGCCGATCAAGTCAGCACCTCGGCACTCTAAGTTTGAGCTCCTGCTTGCAGAGAACCAATTCGGCATCCTGGCCGCGGACTACTAACAGTCCGGGCCCATCGAGCTCGACAACACCAAGATAGGCAGCGCCAATACCAGGCCTTCCAAGCAGCAGCGGAGGCGCCGACGAAATCGTTGAACTACCACCTGCGTCCTGCTCGAGCTCTGAGGTAAAGAAGAAGCAAGCTCGGACAAGGTAAAAGTTGCCCCTATTCTTTCAGTCCCTTCCCCCCTGTCATCAGAACTCCTTGCGGTTCCCATGCCCAAATATTTCAAACTCCCTCCTCTAGACAAGTATGATGGGTCATTCGACCCCAATGACCACGTTGATGCCTTCCAGTCCTAAATGCACCTGGCAAGGGCCAGTGACTCCTGCATGTGTGTGGCCTTCACTACCACCTTCAGGGGAGTGGCCCGCACCTGGTACAGGAACCTAGCCCCCGGGTCGATAAGAAGCTGGACTCAGTTCGTGCAAGTCTTCACCGTGCACTTTGTTACCAGCAAGCGGTGCCCCCGAACCGAGGAGAGCCTCCTCGGAATAGTCYAGAGGGAAGGAGAGTCCATCTGGGGCTATGTCAAACGGTTCAATGACGCGTGCTTGCAGATACCGCGCCTAGACCCTGCGGTACAGCTCGCGGCAGCCAAGAGGGGTGTGACACACAAGGAGTTCAAGTGGCACATGGTAGTCAACCAGCTCGCGACCGTAGCTGAATTCCTCAAGCTCGCGGACAAATTCATAAGAACAAAGGAAGAGATCAACCAAAGGACTAAAAGCGGGATCGAAAAAAGGAAGAGGGAAGGCGAACCCTCCAACCCAGATGACAGGAGAAAGAAACACCAAGCTCGGGGGACGAAGCCAAGCCAACCGTTCCGAGCTCCCTTAGCAGGTCGGACGGACCACACGACCTTAAACGCGAAGCGGGCCGAGATCTTAATGACGATCAAAGACGCCCCGTATGTGAAGTGGCCACCTCGTCTGAAGGGAAACCCGAACGAGAGGAATAAAAACTTGTATTGCAGTTTCCATAGAGACCACGGTCATAGCACCGAACATTGTAATAATCTCCGCAACGAGATAGAAGAACTTATCCGTCATGGGTACCTAAGAAGTTTTGTACAGCATAATAATAATAACAATAACAGTAATAAGAC